TTCAAAAGAAAAAATTTTTAACATTTCAGAGATACAGGACAGTTGGATAAAGACCAATTGCACTGGTGGCTGCCATGTGAGATAACACACTAAACCACGCGCTGCTTCAAACCAAGGGGAAAATGCAATCACATTCAGAATACACCACCGACAGAAACATTATAACGTGCTCGTTCCTGGTTACTGGGAGCCGGGGGTGGGAGGGGTACGCCATGAAGCTTGTGGGATCTTGAACCCAGGCCCTCGGCAGTGAAAGTGCTGAGTCCTAACCACTGGACAGCCAGGGACTTCCCTCCTTCCTAGCTTATAAAATCAGTAGACAAATGTTGGCATATCAGAAGCCTGAAGGAGCCAATAAAAGTAAAATAGCTTGAAAATTTGGGCAAGGTACCATCTAAGCACCTGGCGGTGCCGGCACTTAGTAGGTACTCAACAGAGATATTAAATGCATGAAGGGAAGGGAAGGATGAAGGGGGAGAGGGAGAGCAGAACTCTTTCATTTTATTTCAGAACCAGCTTCCCGCTAAGTATCATTCATCCATTCATTCATTTATCCATGTATTCATGCAGTTCAGTTAATTACATTTACGGCGTATCTGTTCTAGGTCTAGAGAAAGAGAAAAGCCAACACGTCTCCTCAACACTGCCAGTCTAAGGCTACCTGTTCTCTTACCCTTGGGCCTTTGATCAGGTAATTCTCAGTGTTAGAAATAACACTGTTCCTTTATCCTTGCACATAATGCTCTTCCAAGGAATAATTTTAAATATTGTTCACCTCTGTAAAGCATAACAAAAGTGAACAAAATAAGATTAATGTACTCCAGGCTTACTATTGTAACATTTATATAAATCTACTCATCTCATACATTAAGCTATTCAAATATTCACTACATCCTTGTGCCTTCGACTATATGTATGTGGATATGTACATACATTTTACACCGGTTTTACAGTAGCTATACACTAGCTATACACTTCACAGTAGGTAATATCTGTTAGTGTAAAGGACAATACTTTAATTACATTCACATTCTCACTCTTAATTTACCTGCTTTTTAAATAAAGATATTTAATTTTGAACACATTCCTATATTTCATTAAAAATAGGAATGTAATTTTTATTAAAGTCCTAAATCTAACATTTCAACCCAAGAGGACAAGCTTACCAATCTTTCAAGTACTTTTAATCAAGAATGAAAATTTAATTAGCCCAGAGAATGAAATCGTCAACAAAAATATTAACTCCTTCTTGTTCTAGATATCGTTCATCACTGAGTCTTTTGTGATAATGCACTTTTTAAATGCCATATAAAAAACTGGAAACTTCCAGAATAAAGACTTAGTATATACCATATATTTTAGAAATATGTGAGCTATTTGAAGATGAGAGAAATAGGAAAAGATCTATCTCTAAGGAAAGATAAAACTTCTTAACCTTATCTTTATAACGTTTAAACAAAAGATAAGCTTCTGTATTCTCCCAAATATTCCTGCAGTTTATTTTTGAAAATTATCCTGAAAATTTTGTACAGTTTTAAATTAAAGAAAACAAAAACTAAGCCCTATTCTCTTATTTAAACAGAGATTTTAAAACTGACAAATTTGAAAGCTGGGTAAGAGTTGCTTTTCTTGACAGTGGTTGACACATTCTCTGTCAACCTCCTTTATTTCTTCATGAGTCATACCAAACTTTAGTGTATAAATAAATAAAACGTTTATAAAAAATATTTGCAAAATGTTTTTTTTCTTCTTTAAAGTATGATATCTATTTTTATTTATTTATTTTTTATACAACAGGTTCTTATTAGTTATCTATTTTATACATATTAGTGTATACATGTCAATCCCAATCTCCCAATTCAACCCACCACCACCACCCCCTACCCCCCTGCAAAAGGTTTTCAAGGCAGGCAATCCCACACTCATAAAGTGGCTGAAGGGAAACAAACTCTTTCGCATTATTGCAGGCTGCCCGCTTTATTCATGAACGTAATCAAGCCCCTGAAAATGAAGAGCAGTTGTTGTCTGCACTGTGACGAAGCCAGCAGTCTCTGTGCAAACAGCACCACTAATTTATGAAGAGCAACAGACACAGGGATACCCGCTTGCTCCTTTCATCTTATCAAAGGCTGTATGCTACGTGAATGACAACCCACAGGACACACTGAACCCCAGGTCGTACTTATGGGTTCTTCCAAAACCATATTTTTGTTTGCCTGTTTTATTTTCAGGAAACCTATAACAAATACCTTAACTGAAAAAAGTAGAATTATCCCAGTAAGGAGGCTGATTCCAGCCCCAGTGATATTACCTTCCAGGGCTAAATTCCAGAGCTGAATGTGGGCTGTACGTGGAATAACCTTATGTCTTCTGGTACCAGCTGCTGGCACTGTCTCCTCTCTTCGGAGCAATCCCAGCCTCCCAGCCTTCATCTTACAGTCGTGTGGGGTCCGCTACACCCACACACCCAAGTGATCATCCCCACCAGTCATATCCAAAGGTTTACTTCAAAAACATGCTCCCAAGGAACCCCATAAGATCTATGAGAGAAGGGACCAGACTACATCCCAGTCCAAAGTCTTTTATAACCCACAATATGGCTAAAAGGACAGGGTAGTACTGCTGAAGTAGGAAATAGAAGTGAAATATTAAAAAATAAAAAGATCAAAATGTAGCACATCTACTTACATGACTTAAGCAGTGAAATGATTTCCTCCATTAAATTGCTCTCAAGAAGACTAAGTTTCCCACTAAAATGTATTAGCTTCTTTCTTCTTAGGAAACACAAAGGCTGATTTGTGTTCAGACATTTTCATTACATAGAAACTAGACAGAGGGCTTTACTTATTGATAAAGTAGCCTGTTCAGTTATGATACAGCAAATGTGATCTCTCAAATGGCTTTTAGCACATATATTTAGCTTGTTTTTATGGAACTAAGCCTAAAGCTACTTATTCTATAATTAAATTAAAAGCAGGTATTCTTCTTGTAAGAGAATTCGTTCCAGTAAAGTTAGTCTTTAGGAAATTTCTTCTAAAGCTGTCTTGCCTTCTCATGATTCTTAAATAAAATTGACAGGTCACAAAGGGAGAACATGACAATTTATTATAACAAATTATATTTAAGAAAGGCCCTTTTTTCACTTTTGTAATTGATACTTAAATACACAGCAAAACTCACCCTATTAAATATAGCAGGTGCAATTTACTAAACAAAAAATAACAAAAGTTATACATAATATTAACTGACACTCCAGTAGAGATAACCTCATGTCCTTATACTACTGATCAGTTGTCGCCAAACTTTTAGCAATATCACCAAAAGTTTTCAGCAGCCTAAACCCATGTTAAAAGTCTAAACATTCCAGGTTTTAGATTTCTCCCAATCTTTTGAATTTAATGTGCTCTATCTTGATCAATTTATCCGACAATATGTGAAAAGGTTTTTAGAGTATACTTGAAGACAGAAGAAAATGTTCAACTACCATTCATTGGGTCCCAAAAGGTAGGTTTGATTTGTCATGATCTTCTTCGGCCATGCCTTCTTACTTGGAGGGATTTAGTTTTGACATTAAAAGATGAGAAATCATAATGAAGCTTCCCTGTTCAAAAATCTTTAATGATTCTCTCAAACTCAAGTTGATGTTTCAAGTCTTCTTTCACGTGAGTCCAACTTGCCTTTTCAAGCATATGGTCCGCAATTCCCATCCACATCTCCCTGTTCTGGTAAGGTTGATTTATTCACTGCCCCCTTTATCTCTAAACTGTATTTTCCATATTGTACACACTATCATTTTCATCAGAAAAAATCATTACATCACTTTCTGTGGGTGGTTAATATCTTCTAGTTCAGTCAGTTCAAGCCACCAAGCTTTGCTTAAAAGGCATATCAATATATTTGCCTCCAACAATTTCACATGAATAAATTCCATAACATAAATAAGGTTGTTTTCTAAGACATCTAAAAATATTACTGGATTAAAACATCTTCAAATCTGACATGTCACAATTTCTATAAAAAAATCATCAATTCATCATGAACTACATTTTAATTCAACTTAAGTTCTGTCCTGATTTATTATATTTATTTTATTTAATAAGTATAGTTTTAAAAATTAATCAGCTTTGTGATTTAGTTCTGTATGTAAACAAAGCACAAATTATTTAAATAGATTGACATTAATATACTTATTTAAAAGGAATACTAGCAGAGGTTATATTTTGCATTGAACAAAAGCAATAATTTTGTTTGAAAAGCAGTGTAATCTAAAGATTTTCATTCTAATAATATACAGAATAGCTAATGCTTTATAAAAGGAAAAATAAATTAAGCTATTTTATTGTAGCAATAAGGAATTGTACAGAGGAGATGACTAAAATAAGAAAAAGATCACCTGTTTTCCAATGTGTATTGTAATTTTATAACCCATTGATTTTATTTCTGAATATATTGTTTGAATTAAGGTTGAATTCTGGTCGTAGCTGACCCTTAAACATCCAATTAATATTTCCTATTTTACTATTTATCAGACTTGTCTACCCTTCGATATATCACACTGGTGTTCTTAGGAAAATCACATGAAGTACTAGAGGAAAAAATTAGACAAATATGTTTTTAATTATATTTTTGAAAATGAATCTATCATTACCCATTTAAAAGTGACGAGACTTTGTTTTATAGACAATTTAATAAAATCTAATAATCATGTCTGTTCATACTGAAGTAAAACCATGGGTCAGAGTATTGCAGGATTTGGCAGAACCCCCAGAAAGGCATAAATTTCACTAACATTACAGACTCCCTACTCCAAGTCAATTTATATGCCCCAGAATAACCTCAGAAACAAGCTGTGAAGGTCAGAAAAAGCTAAAACCTCATTTTATACCAGAATAATATGCAAAGACAAAGAAGTAAACCTAGACAAATTTACCAGTATAATAATAATAATAGGTAAATTACATAGCAAGATTTATGTTCAGTTTCAGAAATGATACATTTACCTTGAAAGGCAGCTGTGTTTCGAGATATCAGTAACTTTAATGTAGAGCTGGATGTTTGAAGCACCTGCTGCATATCTTGGCGAGCTGTGATTTGATAACTTTCCTCCATCTTCCTGGTGCAACATGCAGGGTTTTTGGCTATGCAAACCTGAAGATCAGGCCCTGGAATACATAGAATATTTTTCATAATAATTACCTGTTCATTTAACAAACATTAGATGTTACGTATCAGACATTAATGATCAGCACTGCACATTACAGGTTCATGTTCTATATGCCCACCAGAAAAATGATACCAGTGGGTTGACACCAGCCTTAGGATACCCTGGATCCCACAGGAAGCTGTGTCAGAAACTGGCCCCATCCACCGGCAGGCAAAAAACACAAACAAAGGAAGGTTAAAAAATATGCTACTAAACAACAAATGGATCACTGAAGAAATCAAAGAAGAAATCAAAAAATACCTAGAGACAAATGAAAATAAAAACACAACAATCTAAAATCTATAGGGTGCAGCAGAAGAAGTTCTAAGAGTGAAGTTTATAGCAATACAAGCTTACTTCAGGAAAAAAAAAATCTCAAAAGCACAACCAAACCTTATACCTAAAAGAACTAGAAAAATAAGAACAATGACAAAAATAACAACAAAATATTAGTAGAAGGAAAGAAATCATAAAGCAGAAATAAATGAAAGAGAGAATTTGAAAAAACATAAAAACAGTAGAAAAGATCAATGAAACTAAGAGCTGATTCTTTGAAAAGACAGACAAAATTGATAAACCATTAGCCAGACTCATCAAAAAAGAAAGAGGGCCCAAATTAATAAAATTAGAAATGAAAAAGGAGAAGTTACAACTGACACCACAGACATACAAAGGGTCACAAGAGATTACTACAAATAATTATAGCCCAATAAAATGGGCAACCTAAAAGAAATGGATAAATTTCTAGAAATGCACAATATCCCAAGACTGAACCAGGAAGAAACAGAAAATATAAACAGTCTAACTACCAGTAATGAAACTGAATCAGTAATAAAGAAAAAAAAAAAAAAGTCCGGGACCAGATGGCTTCATAGGTGAATTCTACCAAACATTTAGAGAAGAGTTAACACCTATCTTTCTCAAACTATTCCAAAATATTGCAGAGGAAGGAAGCTTTGGAACTCATTCTACAAACACAGCATCACCCTGATACAAAAACCAGGCAAAGGTATCACAAAAAGAAAATTACAGGGCTTCCCTGGTGGCGCAGTGGTTGAGAGTCTGCCTGCCGATGCAGGGGACATGGGTTTCGTGCCCTGGTCCGGGAAGACCCACATGCCGTGGAGCGGCTGGGCCCACAAGCCATGGCCGCTGAGCCTGTGCTCCACAACAGGAGAGGCCACAACAGTGAGAGAGGCCCACGCACCGCAAAAATAAAGAAAATTACAGGGGAATGTTACAGATGAAAATAGATGCAAAAATCCTCAACAAGGTATTAGCAAACCAAATTTTCAATATTATATTAAAAAACTCATACATCATGATCAAGTGTAATTTATCCCAGTGATGAATGGATGGTTCAATATCCCCAATCAATCAATCAATCAGTGTGATAACCACATTAACAAATTGAAGAATAAAAATTATATGATCTCAATAGATAACAGAAAAAGCTTTTGACAAAATTCAACATCCATTTATGATAAAAACACTCCAGAAAGTGGGCAGAGAGGAAACATATCTCTACATAGTAAAAGCCATATATGACAAACCCAAGCTAACATAATACTCAGTGGTGAGAAACTAAAAGCATTTCTTCTAAGATCAGGTACAAGAAAAAGATATCCACTCTTGCCACTTTTATTCAACATAGTGTTGGAACTCCTAGCCACAACAGCAGACAAGAAAAAGAAACAAAAGGAGTCCAAACTGGAAAGGAAGAAGTAAAACTGTCACTGTATGCAAATGACATGATACTATACATAGAAAATCCTCAAGACACCATCAAAAACCTACTAGAGCTCATCAATGAATTCAGTAAATTTGCAGGATACAAAATTAATATACAGAAATCTGTTGCATTTCTATACACTAACAATGAACTATCAGAAAGAGAAATTAAGGAAACAATTTCATTTACAATCACATCCAAAAGAATAAAATATCTAGGAATAAACCTACCTAAGGAGGTAAAAGACCTGTACTCAGAAAACTATAAGACACTGATGAAAGAAATTGAAGATAACATAAATATACGGAAACATATACCATGTTCACTGATTAGGAGAATTAATATTATTAAAATGACCATACTACCCAAGGCTATCTACAGATTCAGTGCAATCCGTATCAAAATACCAAGAGCATTTTTCACAGAACTAGAACACATAATTTTAAAATTTGTGTGGAAACACAGAAGTCCCTGAATAGCCAAAACAATCTTGAGAAAGAAGAACAGATCTGGAGGAATCATGCGCCCTGATTTCAAACTATACTACAAAGCTACAGTAATCAAAACAGTATCGTACTGGCACAAAAAAACATACATATATCAATGGAACAGAATAGAGAGTACAGAAATGAACCCACACTTACATGGGCAATTAATTTATGACAAAGGAGGCAAGAATATACAATGGGGAAAAGACAGCCTCTTCAATAATGGTGTTGGAAAAACTGGACAGCAACACACAAAAGAATCAAACTGGCTACCCTCTCACACCATGCACAAAAATAAATTCCAAATGGGTTAAATACCTAAATATACGGCCCAAAACCATAAAGTTTCTAGAAGAAAACATAGACGGTAAGCTCTCTGATATCTATCTTAGAAATATTTTGTTGGGTATGTCTCCTCAGGCAAGGGAAACAAAAACAAAATAAATAAATGAGCCTATGCCAGATTGAAAAGCTTTTGCACAGCAGAGGAAACTATCGACAAAATGAAAAGGCCACCCACTGAACGGGAGAAGATATTTGTAACTGATATATCCAATAGGGGTTAATATCAAAAATCTTCAAAGAACCCATACAACTCAATATCAAAAAAACTAACAATGCAGTTAAAAAGTAGACAGAGGTTCTGAATAGACATTTTTATGAAGAAGACATACAGATGGTCAACAGACACATGAAAAGATGCTCAAGATCACTAATCGTCAGGGAAATGGAAATTAAAACCATAATGAGATATCACCTCACATTGTCCAAGTGGCTATTATCAGAAAGACAGCAAATAACAAGTGTTATCAAGGATGTGGAAAAAAAGAGAACCTTTGTGCATTGTTGATGAGAATGTAAATTGGTGTAGCTGCTATGGAAAACAGTATGGAAATTCCTCAAAAAATGAAAAATAGAACTACTATATAATCCAACAATCCCACCCCTGGGTATTTATTTGAAGAAAACAAAAAACACTAATTTGAAAAGATATATGCACCCCTATACTCACTGCAGCATTATTTACAATAGCTAAGATATGGAAGCAACATAAGTGCCCATCAATAAATGAATGGATAAATAATGTAATATATATATCATATGTGAGATATATATATCACATGTGATATATATATAAAGTCAGTCATGAAAAAGAATAAAATCTTGCCATTTGTGACAACATGAATGGAACTAGAGGGTATTATGCTAGGTGAAATAGGTCAAACAGTAAAAGACAAATAGTGTACGATTCCACTTATATGTGGAATCTAAAAACCAAAACAAATGAACAAACAAAACAGAAACAGAGTCATAAATACAGAAAACAAACAGGTGGTTGCCAGAGGGGAGGGGAATAGGGAGAGAAAGAAATAGGTGAGGGAGATTAAGAGGTACAAACTTCCAGTTGTAAAATAAATGAGACACAGTGTGGGGATATAGTCAATGACTACATAATATCTTTGTATGGTGACATATTGTAACTAGACTTATGGCAATTATTTTGAAATGTATTGAAATATCAGATCATTATGCTGTGTAACAGGAACTAACATAGAGTTGTACACCAATTGTACTTCAAAAACAAACAAACTCATAGAAAAAGAGATCAGATATGTACAGGGAGTTGGAAAAGGGGCAACTGGATGAAGATAGTCAAAAGGTACAAACTCCCAGTTATAAAGATAAGTAAGTACTAGAGATGTAAAGTACAATGCGATAAATATAAGTAACATCGCTGTATGTTATATATGAAAGTTAAGAGAGTAAATCCTAAGAGTCTCACCACAAGGAAAAACTTTTTTCTATTTCTTTGATTTTGTATCTACGAGAGAGGATAGATGTTCAGTAAACTTATTGTGATAACCATTTCATGAGGTATGCAAGTAAAATCATTATGCTGTATACCTTAAACTTATACAGTGTTGTATATCATTTGTATCTCAATAAAACTGGAAGAAAAAAAACTACAATGCGATACCACCTCACACCCATTAGAATTACTATGAAAAATACAGATAATAACAAGTGTTAGCGAGGATGTGGAGTTATTAGAACACTTGTATACTGCTGGTTGGAATGTGAAATGGTAAAACCACTGTGGAAAACAATATGGCAGTTACTCAAAAACCCAAAAGTAGCATTACCATAAGATCCAGCAATTCTACTTCTGTATACATACCCAAAAGAATTGAAAACAGTCTTGAAGAGATATTTGTACACCATATTCGCAGCATATTATTCACAACAGCTAAAACATGGAAGCAGCCCAAGTGTCCATGGATTGATGAATGGTAAGCAAAATATGGCATATACATACACTGGAATATTATTCAATCTTAAAAAGGAAGGAAATTCTGACTTATGCTACAGCATGGATGAACCTTGAGGACATTACACTAGGTGAAATATGCCAGTCACAAAAACACAAATATAACTCCACTCATATGAGGTTCTTAGGATCACCAAAATCATAGAGACAGAAAGTAGAATGGTGGTTAGCTGGGGCTGGGCAGAGGCGGGAGACTGGGGAGTTACTGTTTAATGGGGACAGTTTCAGTTTTGCAAGATATAAAGAGTTCTGGAGGTAGATGGTGGCAGTGGTTTGTGTAACATAAACGTAATTAGTACCACCGAACTGTGCACTTATAAAGTGGTTAAGATGGTAAATTTCATATTTTACTGCAATAAAAAAAATTAGAAACAAATCTTGCTAATATGATTAACAACTCTTATCCTAGA